CATGCTAAGTGAAATAAGCTAATCCCCCCAAAACAAAAGCCAACTATTTTTTTCTGATATTCGGATGTTAATTCACAATGGGTGGGGGGGCTAGGGAAGAATAGAATTACTTTAGATTAGGTATAGGGGAGTGTAGGGAAGGAAGCAGGCATGGGAGTAGGAAGGATAATAGAATAAATCAGATTTTATTACCCTATATACATATATAACTATGTAGCTAGTGTGATTTTACATGAGGTACAACCAGAAGAATGAGAAATTATATCCAATATATATGATGTATAAAAGTGCATCCTACTGTCATGTATAACTAGTTAAACAAATAAAAATTTTTAAAAATCAATGGAAAAATTCAAGTTCTATGACCTTCAAATATTTTTGTCAGCCCATAAAAATCTTTTAGTGTAGGTTGTAAATAAACAAGGAAATTAGGAAACCAGGTAAATTCCTATTTATTTTATAGTCTATAATTCAAATGTCACAAACATTGAGAATTAAAGTATTTTATTTCTTGGAGTAAAACTAATCAAGAATAATTGGAACTTGTTTGCCGCCTTCTCATTGTACAACATGAAATGGACTAGCTTTCCTTCCCCTGAGGGACCTGTCATCTTCCTTTTTAAGTTTGGACAAGGTGTTGGAAGCTGATCCAAAGTTGGGAAGTATCCGACACTTTTAAATTTTACTTCTAGTGTTGCCGCTTTTCATTTCTTTGCCCTACTGTCTGCGTGGTTGGCCCATGTTGTCTTTTGATTGTCTGCTTTTGTAAAACATCCTGTGGTTTCCTCACTCTGCTGTCTGTGCCTGATGTGGGGAACAGGTGTGTCAGTGACCCATCACCAACCGACTTGGAATGAAGCGACACGATTGGTCCGTGGTCATGACGCACCTCTGTTATTCACTGAGCACTTTGTGGACCAAAGAGCTAGCGGTGAAATTTGTACTTGATGCAATTACTCAGTTAATATACTGTGAGAGTGGAAGTTTGAACCATGTTGTCGGGGGATTGGCATTATTTAAATTGTAGCGTGCAAAGTAAGGACTGTCTGTATTCCCGTTATAATTTGTTTGTAGGACACTGAAGTCTGGGTCTGGCTCCTCTTGCTTTTGCCTAGTACACCTTGAGCCCATCCGTTGTAGCCAAGCTGTGATTTAGAAATTCAGCTCCGAATTGCACCGTTGTGTCATTGACTCATCCTTGGAGTCAGCTTTGACTTCTTTTCTTACCAAGACCTCACAGAGTAGATCAGGCACTAGCAAAAAAGTATTCTCCAGACCCCATCCAGCTTGTATAGTTTTGACTTGATCTGCAACTTAGGCCCTGAACACAGTTCTGGGTAAACTACCAAGGGGACTTGGTAAGTTTTTCCAACCCTCTCCTTCGTTCTCTACCTTCTCCTGCCCTTTTCCTCCTACTGTCTGTCTCTAGAAGTTCTGCTGATCTTCTCCCCCTCCCCCAGCATTAGATTACTTCATGCTTCCTTCAGTGGTGCCTCTGGCCATTATCCTAATCCAGGCGTGTGTGTTTTTTAACTTGTCTTTCAGTTATTATCATAGTTTCCTAACTGACTTTCCCTGGGTTGTCACTTTTCTTTTCAGCTAATCCCATATGCCATCACCAGAGTAATCTTCCTGGAACACGCTTTCAACCTTGCTTAATCCTCTGCTTGAAGCCTCTAAAGTAATTTACTCATTACAGCATAAAATCCAAACCCCTCATCAGGCCTCTAATAACTTCCTTTGTCTGACTCAAGCCACCTTCTTCTAGTTTATCACCTGATCCCTTCCCTTCCCTCAAGATCCAAGGTTTCCACCAGACAGATTTACTCATTGTCTCCCCGTTGTGGCTGCCTGTCTTCTGTGTCTTCCTAGAATGCGTTCTTCTGTGTTCTGTCCCATTTCAAAGACTTATTCTAAATGATCTCTACTGTGACATCCTTTTTGAATTCCTAGAAATGGATTTTTTTCCTCTCTGAAGCTCTGAAGGATTTGTATTTCGAATTTTCCTTTATCCTTTATTTGCTACTTGTTAGTTATTGTACATTAGTCAGTCTCTTTGTTAGTGTTTAAGCTCTTGAAGGGCAAGGATGGAATCTTCTATGTTATATACAGTGGTGTTTGAAAAAATGGTAGGCACAAATGTGTTCGTTTCTTCATTTGGTGTTTGTTCAAGCCTTAAGCATTTTTTTTTCCTAGACTCTGATCCATTCTAGGGGTAAAACATAACAAGACATATTCCCTGGCCTCATAGAACTCCAGTTGAGTAATATATACAGAAAAGTAGTCAGACATTTGTTATATAATAAGATACCTGACACGATGCATAATGACTGAGCTTCTGTGAAAGCAGAGATGTTAGGCAACAGGTAATGTTAGATTCCAGGGTTAAGTGGAATCTAATAGAGAGGTAAGAAGTCAGGTAGTGGAAGAGGGGGAAGATGGGAGAATGTTCCAGGCAGAGGACTCAGCCTGAAAAAGGTCTAGACTTGGTGAGGGATACTGAATAAAGTTGAATACAGCTATATTATAGAGCATTAGGTGAGATTCATAAGTGATGAGGTTATGGAAGGAACAAAGGCATGGTGATGCAAAAAGAACTGGATGTATTTGATGAATATTCAGAAGGGAGGAATTCCAGGGCTGGATGTTTAAACAGGTGAAGCGAAGGAGGGGATTCTCAGGTTTGGGTAAGCACCACTCTGGGTAAAGGTATTTCAAAGAAGACAGTGAATTCAAAATTTAGACATTTTGAGTTTGAGGTGCTTGTGGAATGTCTGCATGGAAATATACAGTAGCAGACAGTTTGAAGCTCAGCAGAAATCTTTGGCCAGGAAATATAAATTTGAGTGACTTCAGCATATGACAGGATGAAATCATAGTAGAGCCGGTAGAGTTAGCTATGAAGATTTCAAGACCAAGCCATAAAACATTTAAAGAAGAAGTCAAGAAAGCAGTCTGCAAAGAATATTAAGATAAAATACTCAAGGAGGAAAGAGCAAAATAGACAAGTGAGGCGTCGTGGAAACCAGTGGAAATGGAAATCAGCCCATTGAGTTTAGCAACATGGAGACCATTAGGGACCTTAGGGAGGATAGTTTCTGTGTAGAAGAGGGTGGGGAAAGAGAAGACTTATTCCGATCCAAGATAGATTGCAGTGCATTGAGAAGCGAACAGACAGTTCTGGGAAATGTGGTCACAGAGGAGAGGATTTAGAGGGGGTAAAAGCTAGAAGAGTTGAGGGATTATTATTTTTTAATTAGTGATATGATGAGGTTGACCGTAAAATGAGTTTAGCCAGAGTTTAAAACTCTTCCTAAAATTCGTCACCTAATGTGTTCTCTTATGTTTTGATATTCCAAATAAGTTAACTCCAAACTACTAATCCCTCTGCTACTTGAGGTGTCACCTGGGTCATGTTACTGCAAATGAGATTGAAAATTCCCATGAAGTGTGTTTGAGGGTGTCCTGGTTTTTGTTACTGGTAGCACTGAGTTCAGTGTCTTACACAGAATGAAATTCCCACAGATATTATTTTTATCACTCTCATTTTATCCATTCTTTGAGCAAATATTTATTTCATATCCACATAATATTGGACATTGTTCTAGGTACTGAGAACATAAAGGTTACTAAGGCAGAACTCTTCTCAAGGAGTTTATAATCTAGGAAGACAGCAAAGTAGTGATTAAATAGGGAAACAAAGTAATTACAGATTGCCAGGGGTACTTAAAATGTCACTGTGATAGACAGTGAGTCTGTGTGGCTTCCTTATGTTCTTTTTCTGTGGATTCTTCTTTCCATTCTTGGGGGAGAATCATCACAAAGTTTTACAGAGTTAAATGACTTTAAGATGGCAAGAAATGGTAAGGAATAATAGAGGCTCTCTTTGGCATAATGTTTACTCCTCAGTTTACATTTTTATAAAGTAAACGGGAAGAAAATGGCCATATTAGGCTGTGTGTTTTGGGGGTTTCTTGGTTGATTGCTACTCAACTATCGAGAAACTAACCCTCCACATTTTCTCTGTTCCGTTTCAGTGATTTGCCATCTTCCGTGCATGAATGGTGGCCAGTGCAGTTCAAGGGACAAATGCCAGTGCCCTCCAAATTTCACAGGAAAGCTTTGTCAGATCCCGGTCCATGGTGCCAGTGTGCCGAAACTTTTTCAGCATTCCCAGCAGCCAGGAAAGGCATTGGGGACCCATGTCATCCATTCAACGCATACCTTGCCTCTGACCATGACTAGCCAGCAAGGAGTCAAAGGTAAGTTTTATAGTCTCATTTTGCCCGTTTGCAGAAATCTGTTAACCTGTCAAACCCATATAGAAGCCGCGTCTCAGCAGATGGCCAGGGCCAGGGCTGGTATTGACACAGAAAGGAGTGTGTGATATGTGGCTGAGAAATAGCAGTGGAGCTAGGATGTGGGACGAGGGATGCAGCGGCAGGACTTTCTAGGCCAAACACAATTGGTATCTAGGAAAGAAGAAAATAGCAAGGAGTCCATACTGCTCTAGGGACTCCTACCAACAAGGACTGATTAATGTGATTGTCATTGTTCTTGAAAGGCCTGGGATGTAGGAAGAAGTGCTCTGGCCCTGACAGCATTAACAAACTACTGGATCACACAGTAGCTGAATTTCATAGTTGAAGAGTGTTTGGTTTTAGTTCTAAATAGTCATTTAACCTCACTGGGCTTTGATTTGTTCATCTGTAGAGGAAGATAAACTAGGTCACTTGGAGCGTAAAAGTTCTATGACTAATTCATTCTTTTAAATGCACAATTTTAAAAATGGGGTCAGAAAAGTGTTACTGGCTTTTATTCTTTAAAACCTGAGTTTTTTGCATCCAAAGATGAGATTTTGTTTTAAAAGAGAAGAAAATAAATCTTGTTCTAGATGTAAAATAATACACTTTGGTATCGTGTGTGTATGTGTGTATTATATCATTTTATTATATCATTTAAGGGTAAGTGAATTGTGCTTTGTGAACTTGGCTTTCCACTTTTAATGGAAAAATGAAAATGCTTTATACAATTGTAGTTTTATTTTTTAAATATATAAATACAGATTTAATTTTCATTTTGAGCATGCCATTTGCTTCTCAAGACTTTTGATGTCTATGTAGCAAAAAGATATGTATTTTATGTGTATAATTTATTCTACATTCAATATGTTTGCATACAAATATGTGTTTATATTAAGTTTATTTTCATGTTTAAATCCTGACTTGCCTTCTAATTGTTCCTAACTAAGAAATTTTCCTCCCAATTTGTTTTAGTGAAATTTCCTCCCAACATAGTTAATATCCATGTGAAACATCCTCCTGAGGCTTCTGTCCAGATCCATCAGGTTTCAAGAATTGATGGCCCAACAGGCCAGAAGGTAAAAGAAGTTCAGCAAGGCCAATCCCAAGTCTCTTACCAAGGGCTTCCCGTCCAGAAGACCCAGACTGTGCATTCCACATACTCACACCAGCAGGTCATTCCGCATGTCTATCCTGTGGCTGCTAAAACACAGCTTGGCCGATGCTTCCAGGAAACCATTGGGTCACAGGTAAGCACCATTGCCCAGGCTGTTTTAGTAATGCATTCTAGACCTGGTATCATTCTACTAAAAAAGCCAGACTTGGTAAAAATTATTTTCTGTAGAAGAGGTTTATAAACTCTGACCCATGGCCAGTTTTTATAAATAAAGTTTTATTGGAACACAGTCACACATTCATTTATGTATTGTGTGTGCCAGCTTTCATGGCATGATGGCAGAATTGAGAATTTCTAACAAGAGCATATGATCTGCAAAACCTAAAATATTTACTGTGTGTGGCCCTTTACAGAAAAATCTTGCTGATTTCTGATGTATCAAATATTTTTACATAGTGAACTTCCAGAAATGTTGTTGGAAGTCCATAATTTTCTGCTTATATTTTTTCAGTTAGGATAATCCATGTACAAAACATGTCAGTTATGAGATATGGGTAAAGAATATATATTATGCAAAGACATTTGAAAATTTATAGGTTAGTAGGTATAGGAGGCTAACGCAGGAGAATCACTTGAACCCAGGAATTCAAGGTCAGCTCGGGCAATGGGCCCAGACCCCATCACAAACAAGACAAAAACAAGACTCACCATTGAATGTGCATAGCGAAGGCAACCTGAGAGTTTTGGTTTCTTTGTCCCAACCACTTGGTGTTGCTGTATTTTGGGATGATATGATAACGATGTAAGCTTTGTCCTGTGGTTGTTTGTCTATCCTTTGGTTATGGCTTAAACAGATAGCTCAACGAAAGAATAGGTAAAGTGAATTTATTATTCTTTTTGTTCTTTCTTGAATATTGCAAAAATTGTGTGTATGTGTGTGTGTGTGTGTGTGTGTGCGCACATGTGAGAGAGGGAGAGAGAGAGAGAGAGAGAGAGAGAGAGAGAGAGAGAGAGAGAGAGAGAGCCTGTGTGTATAGCAGAATCAATTGTTACTGCTTTAGAAACCTGGAAAACACTTTCAGGTACTAAGTCAATGTAGGATTATCACTTTTCTTCTAAGAGAAGAGGGGAAGATTGGTTGGTAGACCTGAATGGGGGAAGCACATGGGAATGGAAGGAACATCCTTAGAAAGTTAAGAGACCTTGGTTAAGGCCCTAGGTCCAGCATGATGGTGGGGAATCAGTTTCTTTCTTTCTTTCCTTTTTTTTGCGGGGGGTGGTGGTGGTGCTGGGGATTGAACCCAGGGCCTTGTGCATGTGAGGCAAGCACTCTGCCAACTGAGCTATATTCCCAGCCCTCAGTTTCCTTATCTGCAAAAATATGATGCTTATGGATTTTATGATTAAACAAGATACTTAATGTGATTCTTACTTTGCAATTGTCACAGAACTTTGCAAATATTTCCTTGGAGGATACCAGTAAATTCAAATGTTTTAGGGAAGAAGAACACATCATTTTATTAGTCAGCTTTTTCACTGCTGTGACCAACAGACCTGACAAGATCAACATAGAGGGGGAATAGTTTAAAACTCATGGTTTTAGGGGTCCTGATCCACAGATAGCCAACTCCACTGCTCTGGGACTAGGT